AAAAAAAAAACTTTCGATCGTTAATAAAACTAAAGGGGTGGGGGGCGGCGGGAAAGGGAGGGAAATAATTTTGAATTCGAACCTGGGGGAGAGAGGGAGGAAAGAGGGGGAGGAAATTTTATTTATTTATCCTATTAAAAACCACCGAAGACTATAACGAAATATAAACTATAACGCAATATTTAAAAAAAAAAAAAAATTTAACGAGAGTTCGACGACGCCATTTTTGTTTTCTTTTTCAAATTTTCCCGCCATTTTTTTTTTTAAATAATATTTTCCAGATAATTTAAACTTTCGTTTTACAAAATTTTATTTATTTAATAATTATCCATTATTATTATTATTATTATTACCACTATCATATCAATAGATCTTATCGTTTTCCATTCGTTAAATTTATTTAGTTATTTATTTATTTATGTGCAATGAGGAAAATAAATAAAAAAATAAAATAAATAAATAAATTTTTTTTTTTTTTCTAGTCATTTAAACAATATCTCACATTCGCCATTTTTTTTCCCTCCCACGTAATTCACCGAAGTCGAATAAATAAATTTTTTTTTTAAACTCCTCCCCCCCAAAGTAATTTAATTTCATTTTATCCCTACATTTTATTGAGTAAATTTTTTAAAATAATAATAATAATAATAATAATAATAATGATAATAATAATGATAATAATGATAAAAATGTAATATTAAAACCTCACACGAATATTATTATTATCATTATTAAAGTTTTTAACGGTTTTTTTTTTTTTTTTCATCCATGAATTTTTCAATATGTACAAAACAATGTTTAAATTTTTTTTTTTTTTGTAATAATAATAATAATTGTTATTAGGAAAATTTGATTTAAAAAAAAATTCAATAAAGGTCATCGTGTTAAACATCCTTTAAATACGCACCGCTTAAAATACGCAAACTTGTATTTTCCATTTTAAAAAAAAAAAAATTTTTTAATAAAAAAAAAAAAAAATCTCGCAAACTCATTCATTTCTTTAAAAATTTTTGGCCATTGACCTAGTCCTTGGTGAATCTAAATACTTTTAAAATTCTTTTTCCTCCTCCACCCTTTTTATTATTATTATTATTAGTGTCGTGTCGAATAAATGCTTACGACAATGTTTCTATTTGCACGAAAAAATGAAAGAATAAAAAAAAAAAAAACAATGTCGTTTGCTTTTTAATTTACGTGCAAAAAAAAAAATTGAGCAAACGAAATAAAATAATTAGTAATAAAATAATAATAATAATAATAATCGATCGATCGATCGATTATCGATATTCGTCGATAGTCGTGACGCTAACGGTTAAATCGTTTGAAATTCCATTTAAAAATTTAAATTTTTTTAAATTTTCAAGTATTTTTCCACGACAAAAATTTTTACCTAGTGAACGCGAATGTCAAATGAGTGGTAATAGAAAGAGAAAGAGAGAGAGAGAGAGAGAAGAAAAAGAATTATTAATTGTGTGTGAGAGAGAGAGAGAAAATCATATAATAAAGGTACCCGAAACGGGAAAAAGGGGCAATTAAAAACCTTCTTTTTTTTTTTTTTAATATTAAAATATTTAATATAAATAATAATAGTTATTATTATTATTATTATTATTAAAAATTTTATGTGTTTTTCTCATTATTAACCTCGCTCATTAATAATAATAATAATTATAACTAATTACCGGAAGAAGTAGGAAAATAAATAAATTCATGAGTTAACGACGATAAGAAAAGAATTTCGATGTTGGTACCTTGTTTTGCACAAACTCTGACTCACTATTCAGTTGGTACCACTGATTTCGAATCGATCGAACGATGTCAAATTGAAAATAATAGTAATAATAATAACTACAAAAAAATGTAAATTAAATTATTATTAAAAATTATAAATTGAACTCGATATTTAAAATAATAATAATAATAATAATAATAATAATAATAATAATAATAATAATAATAATAATAATATTGCGAAATTGTAAATTAACGTTTTTTTTTTTTTTTTTTTTAATGTAATGAAAATTTAAATAATTTTTTTTTTTTTTGTCGCCAAGTTGCAAACGAAAACGTTTAATTCGTATAGTGCT